CTAAAAGTAAAGTCCGCGAAACAACATGTTTAGTAAATAACCAATAAATATTTCTTATTTCATTATAACTTAGTAACAAATCAGTGATTGTAATAAGAACTGCAACAAATACATAATATACAAACAAATCAGTGTTTAATACAGTCCACAGCTACAAGGGTTAAATTATAACTCAACAACCTGAATTATCGAAGGAGAGTTTTAATAAATTTCCTAAGTACGTAACATAATTACAAGAATTTTTGAATTTTTTTGAAAATGATTGAATTAAAAAAAAAATAATAATAAATACACGTGATATCTTACTCTCCTCTCTCGTGATATTTCGTGATTTTTTGTCAAACCCCCTATCCCCCTAAAAAGCTCACGAGATAAATGGACGCCTCCTTGGTGATACTTGGTAATATTTAAAATTATCCCTGATCTCCCATTTAACATCACGAGTACTTTTAGTACCTAGAAAAAATGTTAAACTTCCGGATTTTTTTTTTTGAAAAATTGTGGATTTGTTTTTGAAAATTCGGGTAAAAATTAAATATATGTGGTATTTTACTAGATCCCCTTGTGATATTTCGTGCATTTTTATTAAACACCCTCCCCCATTTACGCCTCACGAGGTTAATTAATGGCCCCTTAATCATTTATTGTTGATGATGACATTCTTTTAAACGCACGTTTGCTTTTTTGGCGGTTATTATATTTGAAATAAAAAAAAAAGTTTCCATCAATTTTTGCTCACACAGGGTGTGGGCAGTTAATAAGTAGTAATAATAATTAGATGGCGTTATACTCATCACTCACGTAAATTTACATACAATCTTAGATTTTCACTCATTGGAAAACATTAGAAGTAGATTTACAGCCAATTGAGTCGATTTACTCTCGTTATAGCAGATTTACACTCATTGTAGTCGATTTACACTCATTAAATTAAATTAATGCTCATGAATTAAATTTATACTTATTGAAGTAAATTTACACTCATTCATTTATACCCATTCCCATATTTTATCTTGGTAGATTATAAAAGATTTTTACTGGCTTTTTGGGAGGAAATATGAAATTTCTCTCGATAACAAGGTACTTCTGTACAAAACTATCATAGTGCCCTTTTGGACTTATAGAATCGAACTATGGGGTTGCTCAAACATCATTCAAAGGTGCCAGAACAAAATTCTGCGTATCCTGCCTAATGCACCTTGGTTATATTTCGAACTTTTGCCTACATAAGGATTTGGAAATCTCTACGAAATGATCAAAATTAGAAGTTCATCGGTTAAGAAGATTAAGCAAGAAATGGCCTTCCGATCTACCAAACACCTAGACCAATGTCTCCTCTCTAGACATATGGTAAACAAACCGCTGCGACACATAAGTGATTCCGTTTTTGCATTATACACTTCTGGTTAAATGAAGATGTCTAATTTCATGCCAAACAATCGTCATTTGCGGGGAATGTTGATTTTCGTCTTCCATTCCAAAAAAACGGCAGCTCAAGTGCATCGAGAACTACGGAGATGCTGCTCTGAGTGATACAACATGCCGTGATGGGTATCGTCGCTTCAAAGATTGTGTTTGATGTTGAACACTACCCTAGTAAAGGCAAACCAAAACCTTCAAGAACGCTGAATTGGAGACCTTGCTCGAAGAGGATTCGTGCCAAGCTCAAGAAGATCTTGCTTCAGAATTAGAAGTTACCCGTCAAGCCATTTCCAAGATTTCATGCGTTGGGAGGGGTGGGGGGATGATTCGGAAGCAAACTTGGGTTCCTTGTGAGTTGAAGCCAAGAGACGTCGAGCGTCGTTTTTTCGCCTGTGAACAACTGCTCCAGCGGCGAGAAAAGAAGGGGTTCTTCATCACATCATGACAGATGATAAAAAATGATTATGTATATTACAGTAATCCAAAGAGGAAAAAATCTCAGTTTGGCCGAATATTTACTGAGAGGGTTATGCTCTTCATATGGTGAGACCAGGTCGGTGTTATTTATTATGAGCTGTTGAAACCGAGCGAAACTATCACTGGAGTACTGTGTCAAACTCAATTGACGCAATTTTGCCGAGCACTGCGCGAAAAACGGCCACAATACGAGCAGAATGATTTTACTGCATGACAACGCTTGGCCTCACGTTTCCAAGACTATTAAAACTTATTGGGAACGCTCAAATGAAAAGTCCTACCCCACCCACTATATTCCCCAGATATTGCACTATCGGATTTTACCTTGTTCCATTCGATGGCACATGACCTGGCAGATCAGCAGTTCAACTCATGTGAAGACCTTAGAAAATGACTTGGTTCGTAGATAGCCTCAAAAGACGAACACTTTTGGCGCCAAGGTATTCGAGCTCTGCCAGAAAGGTGTGCAAAAGATGTGTCTAGCGATGGGCAATACTTTGAATAAATCAGATGTAAGAGTTTTTATATAATAAAGTTACATTTTCATCGAAAAACAGCAGAAACTTAGTTGCGGACATAATAGTTTCTCAAAAATCTAATTTTTTCGAAGTAAATTTTTTTCGCAAATGTTAATCGTTTTTTTTTAAAAAATAATAATTTTTGGTACGGGAAGTTCCAGCAATTTGCCTTAAGGCACGATGCCATGCGCCCCACCAGTTTTTAATGAATTTGAGCGGTGTCGGTTCGGAGCAGCCCGACGCGCATGGGAAAAAGCTCATAATTACAAGTAAAAAAATAAAGTTTTAGGTATGGAATATTTTTCCTCATATTCTAAAAGGTTCAAAGTATATTTTAAGCCTAAAAGTTTTTTCTGTTTTTTCGAAAAATCTACAGCCCTTGAAAAAATGTGACATTTCTATCTCAAACTCCGAACAGTAAATACATAGTTTCGACAACTTGTTAAGTTATCAAGTTTATTAGTGTGTTTTACAATCTGTGATCAATGTGCACATACTTATACCATGGATTAATAATGTTTTCATATGTTATATTAGGATACAACATTGTAAATGTTTTATTATTATTATTATTATTGTTTTTCTATGAAATTTCTTACATATTATTTATTTAGTTTTAATTTTTATAGTTAAATTGATTACCATTGAATGAAGGCTAAGATGCTAGCCGAAACGTATGGATTTTAAATAAATAAATTTTTAAAAAAACTCATACTATTTTTATTGATGTAACGCCCGACTTTTTAACTCAAATTAAACATATATATCAACATCAAATTCAAGACTTCAAATATATATACATATATATATATATATATATATATATATATATATATATATAACGTATAATGGAATAAATAATTTTGTTATTTAATCTCTTTTTTTAATTCGACTGTTGGGCTGCTAAAAATTTTACAAATATATATATATATATATATATATATATATATATATATATAGCATATATATCCTGGGTTTTCCTTCCTGACGATGTAACTCCAGAACGCACGAACCGATTTCGACAATTTTGCATTCGTTGGAAAGGTCTCGGGCTCCGCAAGGTTTATAGCTAAGGTTATTCGAGTAATGACATTAGTGAGAATTATCAGAATTATGCTTGGTTAAGTTAACGAGCAATTCTTGCCGCAAACAATAACGATGTACACGCACTGAATTTCACCATTCAATCAAAAATTGCTGGCGATTTGGTGACATACCAATGATTCCGACTGGTCTTCCGTTTGACTTCAAACGATTGCAATTTCCAGTTCGCCTTGTGTTTGCAATAACAAGTCGCAAGGGCAATCGCTTAGTGTTTGCGGGATAAATTTCAAATAGATTATTTAGAAAATCATTGTTTTTCACATGGGAAGTTATACGTTGCCTGTTCACGAGTTGGAAAACCATCCGCTTTGTTTGTTTTAACGTCAGACCAAAAAACAAAAAAGGTGGTTTACCAAAGAGCACTTCAATGAAACGGATAATTTGCGGATTCACTTTCATTTACTTAGAGAAGTTCAACTAAAAACACTTCATTTTTGTAATCGAAATAAATTCATTACTGTTGCGTAATAAAATCAAATTTTTCCTTTTTAAATATAAAACAAAACAAAAAATTTTCTTCATCTTTCTCACGAAACCATCTGGTGGCGAAACGGAGTTAGTCGGGTTTGCTAGTAAAGTTATAAATATAAATACACTGCACTCCTTTTGCACTTATTTGTTAAATAATTTTAATTTTAAATAACAACACTCATATGGAGTAGTGCACTATGGTAATTTTTTTTAACATCACAAACATAAATAACTATTATTGAAGAATAGCAAATGTGTACTGTACTGACTGTTCTCTATCTATGATAAAAATTTCGTACAAAAATATATGTGCATATTTCATTAGCATTTATCACTTAATTAAAACGCGACAGCAAAATAAAATTAAAGCAAAAATAATAATACAATAGTTATATCAACATTTCGTTGAATTCATAACAATCTCGTGCGATAAACAAATTGAACGCATACCGATATTTAAATATAGCATCATGAATAATAACAACAACAGACCATTAATAATCATAATAAAACAACAAATATAATTACACCAATTAATATTACAAAACGAAGCAATTAAGAAAAAAATATTAAAAACTTGAATTTTGATATAATTTAAGAATCAAATAGACATATAGCACATGGCACAGAAGTAATGGACCTTTAATAAATATTAATTAATTGAATATTATGCAATACATGACACAATACTAATTTGATTAGGGGTAAGATTTATAGCTCACCTTAAGTCACTGAAAAGGACCAAAGGAAACTAATCGAAGTTTATATTTCCATATTACAAAATTACAGTAAACAAAATTAACTATAAAACATTCCTAATTATCATCTTATAAGAAAATAAACATGACACAAGAAAAGGATAGTTTTCCTTAACCCATCCTTAAAGAAACGTGTTGATCATAAGCGAGAGCACACAAAGACGAGGCGAATGGGAACCATAAGTACAATTATATTAAGAATATGAAATAAGCACTTTTATTTAATAATTTGTTTAAAGTTTATTCAAACCTGGGTGTCGAGTAAATCTGTTTTCCTAACAGTCATGACGCATTGTAGTACAGAGGCTGTCACTGCTCAACCATATTTGCAGATTACACGATCACATCACAAGTTTCACATTAGTTTCACGAATGAAAGGAATAATATTGTTATAATAAGCATACACAACAATTAATTTAACAACAATCAACAAGAGCACTTTGTATTGAACAATTTTTGGCTTTCGAACAAAAGCCGGACACAAAACAAATCAGTCAAAAAACTCCATTTGTAAATTGTAGTGTTGCCATACGGTCTCTACAACATGGAGAAAATATATTTTTATCTGTTTATAAAAGGCGAGCTTATAGGATAAAATATTAAAATATTTAATTCCCTATTGAATATTAATTTAATTTTATCCAATTATTAATGACATCTGATTTTCTAATTCTATCTAATCACTGCTCAACTATTACTTCAGTATTTGTCAAATTCCGTTCACTATGGTTATTTTTATTTTTTATCTGCATACTCATATTACTAAAATTGTCTTTATCTATTTAGCATTTTTCTAACAATGCATTATTATTGGTAATTTCTATTATTTTACCGGAAGATAATAAATTGTTTATATTATTCAATAATTTGACAGCAAAATGACATTTACTAAAATTTTGACAGTTGGCTGTCAAAATCATTCGTGGATTGAACACTTTTGAAAATATTTACTTGTCATCAAGGACCAAGAACTCTAAATAAATTATATATAATATGTTCTAAAAATGTCTCTATTTCTTAACAGGATTAAAAGAAAAAATGGAACAAATGCATCGATTAAAAATTCCTTGATAACTCAGTTATCAAACAGCATCAAGGAAATTCAGCTAGAATTGAGAGATAATAAAAATGGTATTTGTACAGACCAAATCGTTGTAAAAATAAATATGAATAATCGTTTGAAGTTTTGCTTGTAAATTAAATTAAGTTTAATAATAATATTCTTTTAGTTTAAATTAATTAAGTATTCGTTCTTATTTGTTGCTTTTTTAAGGTGTTCTGTGCGGTAATGATGCCACAAACTCTTTGTGTGTTATTCTAGAGGCAATTTTATTGCATGGGTTAAAAGACACGTTAATTAGAAAGGCCAAAAATGTATTATTGGATAAAATTGATGAACCCCCAGAAATTAGTTTCTGGCCTTTGCTACTTGTATTTTCTCATCGTGATGTTATAGATAATGTAAGTTAAATGAACTTTAGCTTGGAACAACTTAGCATTACTATTATAATTAATTATGGAATACCATACTCAGTTGCAACTAAAAAATAACGAAGAAAGTCATTTTGTTAATAATCTTTTATTCACTCAAACATGAATGAAGTGAATGTTTTAAAATAATATTTAATTTACAGATATTATCTTTACAACAATTGACTAATGATATAGGATATTGTCGCTCATGGGTGCGTTTAGCTCTTAATGATGGATTATTATCCTCATACTTTGATATTATGAGAAGAGATTTAAATTCATTGTCTCCATATTATAAAAATCATGCATTTTTGAGAGACAATGATTTGATGGAGATAGCTAAAAAGTATATTGAAGGCTTTGAAAGCAGTGTGACATTTAATTTACCTTACAATTCTAGTTTATTAAATTCCTGGAATCACCAAACATTATTGATTGCTGGCATATGGGCTCCAGCTATGAAAACTCATCCGGTAATTTCACAAGTTTTTCTTCATTAGTTATTAGTTTCTTCATTTCTCTGTCCTTTTAAAATAGTTTTTGTTCTCAAAGTATCATTATCTTTGCGAATATTTCAAATATCAAAACATTCTGGTTGTAATTATTTTAGATTTCATCTGCAGTAGACATTGTGAGCACATTACATGAATCTACACAAATTCCCATCCCTTCTTTCCGCAATATTTGTCTAACTGATAACTTCATGCCAAGTCCATCGTCGAGCTTAAACCAGAATCTAATTCTCAATGAACAAGAAGCCCTAGATATAATTTTATCTAAATCTGTTAATAATGATAGTGAAGATAATTCAAAAACTCAACAACAAATAGAAAATCTACTTAATGAAACTAAATGTGATGAAACTATCAACACAGTGCCGGATTCTAATGTAAAAGACAAGGCACCCTTCATAGGAAATTCACTTTCCGGAAAATCTGCCTGGTCAGATGGAACTGAGCAAGTAACATCCATAAAATCTGATATTGATAATATAAGGCCTAGTACGTCACGTCAAAATTCTGTAAAAGGCAATGATGTTTCCAGCTATAATGCTCTATTAGAAAGTTACACCGTCAATACAGTAAAGCTCGACAGCACACCTGATTTGAAAAGTATTTGGGAGAATTTTTTACCAACAGCTATCATCATCAGCAAATGAACCAGAAGAATTGGATTCCACAAAACCAGAGGTTGTTTTAATATTCATATTGATGGTAAATTTTGTAAATACTTGTGAAAAAATCTCAGAATTATTTTTAGCTTGCTGAGTTTGAGATAATTTCTAACAGCTTAAGTAGTATATTTACATTGCCCGAATTGCAAAGGCATGTTGAACAATTATGCCAGTTGGCTCAACAAAAAGGTCTCCGTCATCAAAATTTTACTTGCAAAGTTGTTCCAACGCATTAGGTATTCATGTTACAAGAGAGCAGTAAGTTCTTTCTAACACTTTAAAATTACATTAAGAACATGAAAGTCTAAACAATCATATGTAAATTTATAGAGTTTGCGCATTCAGTGGAGATTATTATTGTGAATCTTGTATGAGCACAGAATTATTTGTAATACCTGCTAAAGTGGTATATAATTGGGATTTTCATAAATACAATGTATCTCACAGTGCAGCCCGATTTCTAAAGGAGTTTCTGCATCATCCATTGATTGACCTAAAAGTAATTTTGTGTTATTTAGTATTGTGTTAATATCATACTGACTTTATATTTTATAGATATTAAATCCGTACATATATAGTGTCATTGAAGATATGTCACAGTTGCAAGCACTAAGAATACAATTGAATTTCTTGAGAGCATACCTATTCACTTGCAGGGAACCTGTGATTGAAGAGTTACAAAAGAAATTGTGGCCATAGATTATTTGTATGAACATGTCCATCTTTACTCTATCAATGTAAGAAGAATTATGACTGAGCAAGGTTTTTTTTTTACATACTGTGTTTTAAATATTAATTTTGTACAGGACTTAACACAAATTCCAGGTGGATATTTGAAACAAGAAATTTCAAAGTTGTACAATTTGGTATAGCTCATGTCACTGATTGCTCTCTCTGTTGTCAGAAGGGATATATATGTGAAATTTGCAATAATGTTAAAGTGCTATACCCTTTTAATTTAGAGACCACATTTAGGGTAATGCGAGTTTGTGAATTTGAGGTAATAGATACAAGTGACCAAAATTGTAACTAATTTTTTTATTGTAGTGCAATTTATGCCATGCGGTTTATCATTCAAAATGTTTGCAATCTTCAGAGGGCTGTTTAAATGTAAAAGAAAAAAGAAATGGGATGATATTTCATTAGATGTTTGACAAAAGTGCTTAGATGTTGAATCTAATGATGTAATTTAAATATTGAATGCTTCAAAAGATCAATTTTCATGATATTTTAATTTAATTTTATGGATGATGAGAAACTATTGTTTGCTTAATACAGAGAATGGTTTAAAAAATGGTTATAAAAAATATTTAATTCAAAATAATTATATAAAATACTGTTTATGTTGTACAAATATTTTATTATTTTGATAGTCTTATAATCAATTCTCTGGTCTATTTTATACTTGAGTCCATATATGCAAATGATGTATTACTTCTAATATAAACAAATACATCTCATTCTTAATACTAACCAACTACATTGAACAAGTTTTACAAATATCAAAATATTTGTTAAAAGAATTAATTTTCTAATTATAAATGCACTTTTTAGTTAAATAATACTATTTACAAAAGCAAGATCAAAATGGCAGTCACAAAGTCAAATATAGTGTTATGTATATAATACAGTTTAATTCAAGTTTACTTTATAAAAGGTCCAAATACATATGAAATACAAACTCCCAATGAATGAAGAATTGAAAAATCACATTGCAAAAGCTGCAGAGATTCAAAATATCACCATTAATCACTTCTGATAAAATAAATCATAAGAAAAATATATTCA